AAAAAAAAAAATCAATTTTCCGGGTTCTTAGTGAATTTCGATTACAAATCGGCGCTAATATGCCTAGCATTTCCAGTGATTCAGTCTGCCTTCAACTCTTCCTCGTGAATCTTGCAGAAAAGGGACTCGCTAACAACACTGCGAGTGAGTGGTTGCAGTTAGTACAGTGTTTTTATTTTAATCATTTTTGAGTATCTTCTGTCACAAAGAGTGGGAATTTAAGCACTTGAATCTCGGTCTTTCGACACGGAATGTTCGTTCAAAGGAAGGATTTTCTATACATTTTGTTATTAGGGTAATGAAATCCGGTTCAAATACTACAAAATGATGCACAAAAAAGTGAGTAGAATGAAAAATCGTTTCGGATGCGTTTTTCAATGACTACCTGATCGAGATTGCGGTCCGGATTATCGTTAAATGCTTTTGTATCGCCTGGTTTCGTTTCTTTCTTTAGCTTTTCATATTCTATTTCCAACCCCGGGACACTTTTATCCAAAACCGCATCAACCCATTTGATAGCCTGCGAAACACAAAAAAAACCTTTTCTTATTTGCAATTCGGATATTTTGCGGAACACAAGCATTTTCGCTTCTGACCGCTTTCAAGCATCCCTCGGCCTGACTATTTTACAATTACTTTGCTAGAGATATAGATAATCTAATAAAAACGAGAGTCAAGATATTTTTTTATTCATGACTAAGACTTAGCTGGGAACTAATAATTTCATGATTAAGGGTCCTCGTGGTATTCTCGGATTTCAAATCACTATCCGGATAAGATGCAGTCTTCTACCGATACTTAAAGCACGAACAAAATGTCCTAATCCTCGCTGAAAGGGAAAGCTACAAAAGCAGGAGCGTTAGATGAATCATGTTTTACTGTTGTGAATAAAATTTGGGACAATGGAAGCGTCATAAAATTGCTCGATTGGTCCGAAAACTGTAGGCACTGGCAGAAGAGAGTTTGTTACTGCAGTGTAACCACAGAGAGAGTTTGTTTTTGACTCTTGAATATTTGGATTGATAAGGTTTGTAATGATAAATGTGGTAGGGCCACAGGAAACTTGATTTTGATATTTGACAACTTGTGCCTACTGGATCTACAGCAGTAGAGCGATAGACCCTTATTTCTTTTATAATTTGCTCGTTTTGGACCTGCCAGATCCCGTGCCGAATAAAACAAACAACCTGGTCCCGAGCGCTTCCGCCTTTCAGATCACTCTTTATTTTGTCCAACTGCACTGTTGGTGTCACGTCATCATCTGTTTCATTTTCCGACCTTTAATTGATTAAGTGCAAAAATTTTTATTTGTTTTTTTCTGCCGCTGGGCGTTTTGGTGTTCTCCTATCGGTATTGATCTTTTTCTTCCGCACGATTCACAGCATTACTTCAAATATTCGTCCTCTTGTTTATTCATGTGGCTCGAATAAATTTTTGATATGCTGGCGCTTCCGTCTCAATCTTTTTCCAGGTAAAGTTGACATATTTGTCAGCTGACAAAAAAGAAGAGAAAGGATTGTTGCAACCACTGAAATAAACCAGAACATCTGTATTACATTAGGACTGCTCAGAACCTTGACGAACAAGGCAGAAGAAGAATTGTTGCAACCACTGAACCAAGAATTCTTTTGTCTAAACTTCCGAATCTCAATTTAATTTCCACTAAAAATTTTCCTCCGCAACACATCTTGCGAAAAAAAAGCCTCGCGAAATCAATTAAATCATTTTTTCGCATTCTGTATACAACCCATGAGTAGTACAAAGCAACACTCTCAAAATGAATATAATTTACTACTCCTCGACTTGTTCAAACGGGTACCTAGTTGAACTTGACTTAATTTAACTTTATTCGCTAAAATTTCTTTCAGCCACTCAAACTTCGACACTTCTCAATCGTGGAAGCAAAAATTCGCTTCTT